ACTCTGTGCTTATTTTTGAATTTGATGTCATATATCCGTTCTATCTTGCGATGCACGTTCTACAATTATTTCACAGGAATTGCTATTGTACTTATGGGAGTCAGCGGTGCTGGAAAATCGTTAGTACATTCATGCTCTTATTATTATTCTTATTATTATTATTTCGTTTTTGTTAAGTTTAAATTGTTAGCTTAAAAATCATTAGTATATTCAGCCTTAACACCATCTTTCGTTTCTCCACTTCAGAACGATAGGTGCAATGCTGGCAAACGAGATAAATGGTACCTTTCTTGATGCCGATGATTACCACCCACAGTCAAACAAAGGTAGGTTTTCTCTCGATTAGAGGGGCGTTTTCGTCATTTGCGTATAATAATATAATCGTTTTTTTTTCAACTCCCCACACCTTAAAAAAACAGACAAAATGAAGAATGGCATCCCTCTTTCGGACAAAGACCGAATTCCTTGGCTCGAAACTCTGCGTGATGCACTGAGGGCTAGCTTGGTGGATGGCAAAACCGTGATTCTTGGATGTTCTGCTTTGCAGAAGCATTACAGAGAAATTCTTAGAAGCGGGGACCCACATTACGTACCCGGTTCTTATGTATGTGGTGTAAGATTTGTTCTGTTGAGTGTTGGTGCTCAAGTGCTTGCCGATCGGCTGGAGCAAAGAGCGAAAGAAGGGAGGCATTTCATGCCAGCTCAGCTCTTGAAATCCCAATTGGATTTGCTGCAGATTGATGAATGTGAAGGAATATTCCAAGTTGATGCTTCGTTAGATCCTCGTCACACTCTGAAAACGGTACGAGCTTTGCTGCAGATGGATGGATAACGAACGCAATCGGGTAATGCTACAAAATTGTATCTTTGGAAAGTTGACGTATAACAACACGATGTAGTCGAAAAACAAAAACAATATTCATTTCATTTGATTGAAGTACCGAATTAATCAAAAGAAATGATAAAAAAAACATATAGAAAACGAAAAATTATGATATAGAGAATAAAATACATCATCTGAACTAAATGGTACAATTATCTCGTCCGATCCACTCAGATCCTTAATACTAAACTTAGTTATCAATGTGGTATTTTATAGCGCACATATGCATCGACATAGCCCATAATTATTTAATACGTTGCGAAAAAAATGCATATTTTTCATTGTTCATATGAAATCACTGCTACACATTCTACTATGGAATACATTGGACT